GTTGATTACCTTTATAGTAAAATTAACAAGACAAAAATAAAAATGAAACTTGTAGACCAATTGGTTCTGACTAATTTGAAATATAACGGGTGAAAATTATATTTCTTCGTATATCAAGATATATAATATTGAGTTTATGTTTTTATTATCTATTTTGAAGATTTTTCGTATATTTAGACAACTTGTCATTTATGTTGGTCTATTTATTGTTGAGATCATTGTGAAATCCCGGTACTCTATTGATTTTGTATTTTGGTTGTGATACCTGTGCATGCTCTTATTTGGATTGATGAGAGTGTCTGCGATTTTTCTCTATTTTACGTTGGGTTTACCCACTTTGGTGTCTTTCGAGCTCAGCGTTGTCATGATCGGAGTGGTGAGAACGTCCTCAGGTTCCTTCCGCTCTATGATCGACTTAGTTGTTTAATCTTCTTGAGCTATGCGTTGAGGAGAGCAATTCTAGCTCCCACTTGAATCCCGTCAAGTTGACAAGTTGTCTCTCGTCTGAGAATTCCAGCCGTCCTTTTCTTGGAATCAAGGCGAGGTTTGAGGGATGACCTCTCATTCTCAAGGTTGGTCAACCTTTGTTAAAGCTTTTTTTGGTTCGTTTGTTGCTAGGTGCGTAGGGCCTCAAGCTCGACGTCATGTTGCCTGTGTTGTTCATCATGTTGTTGTATGAACAATTGTACTTGCTAAAGGATTGTCACACGGTTGACTTCCATAGCATGGGAGAGTTGTGAGAACCTTCGACTAGTGATCATATATAGGAGGCTAGGTCGGGGAAACGTTTTACCAAAACCCCATGTGGGTGCTAAATGATCTTATAAAGATCTTAATCGTGGATTTGCATACAAATGACAAGATCCTAAGTGTGATTTTGAGAGCTCTGGTTGTCTAGAAAAGGTCTCTTTACTGTTGAGAGGAGAAAAATTGACTTATAAAAAACTATTCAATGTTAAAGTGAGTAAGAGAGTTAGTATTTTTATAAATATTAAGTATATTAGTGTTTATAGTGAATTAAAAAATATTAATTGTATTTCTAAAATCATCATAAATTTATATTTTTATTAAAATAATATTTATCTAATAAATATACTAACATCAAACTGGTGAAATTTAATTATAATACATGAATATAACTCGACATAAATTTTGATTACTTTGTAATAAAATAAAAAGATTTAAAGAATTTTACTAAATCTTATATTTTTAACATAGCTATTGATTCAGACAATAATAAATGTCCATTTTTATTACACATGTTTATAAACTTATTTATTTATTTACCAATATTTTTAGTGAAAGAACATTGAAAAGATCTAATATAATTAATTATAATGATGTTTGACAATATGGTGGGGTCAAACAACACGATAAACAATATTTTAACGATCAAGACACACCAAGCGGTGATCATAATCTTGTAGATATCAGAACAGAACCAAACGGACAAATTAAACGTGTTATGAAAGGTTTTGACACGGTACATAAAAAAAATCAATTAAATATTTTATTAGTATTCAAAACTCCTTAAAGTAACTACACACGTTATTTTAGTTGTCTTTTCTTTTCTTTTACTTCAATTATTATAATTTAACTTTGGAGTTGTATATTATCTTCTTCTGCGCCAGCATCATGGCCATCTTTAAGTGCTGAATTTTCTCCAGGTGACTCATCTGATTGGGGTGGCAATGCCTGAAGTTGGCCCTCCAAATCGCAACATTTCTGAGTGCTTGTTTGTAATCATGATTATGAGCAGAGGCTACATGATCAATTTCGAAACAACAGAAAATGAGAACACTGAAAATGAAGACTCTGCTTTGAGTCATCACCATTGATTTCATATAACAACAAGGAAACAGATATTTGGTGTTTCTTCACACTTCAACATGCTCTACCCTATTTATAGCACAACCACCACCCTGCAAAATAATCTTAATTATCTCATTACTAATATGTCAGATTAATAATATTTCTGCTACCAATATAATATTTTTCATGGGAATCTTAAAAATAATGAATTACAAATTACCCAGAGAGTAGTACTTCCATTTTATTTTTATAATAATTTGACCTTGGATGAGATTATAAAACCATTTTTTTCTATGAATATTATAAAATGTTATAAGATTATTCAATTTTTTTTTCTAGTTTTATTATTAAGAATATATTAATTTGGACGAGTTTTATAGATATTTTTACAGGATAAAAAATAAAATAAATTTTTCATAAATTTAAATTAGTTTGTGTAAATATAAAGGTAAAACTTTTGAATAATGCATAACTTAAGTAAGCTGAATATAAACTAATTTTAATTTTCCTTTCAAAAAGAAGTTTAAGAAAACTTGTCCAAATGCACCGATAGTTTTACCTGAGTTATAAAAAGATGTTCAAAATTTATAGTTTCATTCAACATTATTCTTACTAATTTTGCAGAATCAACATACCAAGTTGATAACTAATTTAACTTATTATATAAAATCCCTATTTAAATAGTAATAAAACTATTAAACAAAATTATAAATATGATAAATCTATTTAATAGTATTATAATACTAAACAATTATGATAAAATATCATACAAAACTAACAAAGAGAAAAGACCATATAACTATTTTATTAGGAGTCATCTATAAAGCGATGCACGGGATATATAAAAAGTTATAATAACACACTTAAAAATTATCTTCGTTACATGTATATTACATAAACTGTAGAAACTGAAAGTGCTTTGATGAAATAATTTAATTTTCACTATGACTTATTAGTATTTAATAATATATCAATCATAAAACTAAATTATTTGATATTTTACATTTGACTTTCCGATGTTTTTCAACTCAAATTAACTATAATAATTAATTATAAATAATATTTTTATCATTATTTTATTCTTTTTCTTCCTGTGTATGTTACACTTCGATAATTGTTAAAAAACCACTGTTTTTTAATATCAGTTCCTCGTATATTTATAATGTGAGAGGGTAGTTTATATATAATAAGAGTATTTTTTTTAAGATTGTCTATAACATAGGATTTATAAATTTTTTATATTTTAAAGTTTAACCAACAACCATAAACGAAACGATTATTTGAAAATATTATCTTAGAGAAATAATATCATTAAATGAAAAATATGAAACAAGTCTTACGACATTTAAACTTCAATAAATTGCCAAGACCAAGTGATATCCTAGTAGATGCAATATTATTAAAAGATTATTTATTATAAAAAGGTAATTGCATTAACGTGTTATTAAATGATATTTAAGTAAATGCACTAGTGTGATAATTGACGCACCATTAAATGATATTTTGGCAAACGCATCAATATGATACATGGATATTAGTACTAAAGAGCCAATGCCTTATGTAAGCTTTATCAAACATGCAGGAATGAAACATAGAGTTATGCCTACTAAGCACCTATAATAGTGCTGACAAAACATATGTGAGCAACATTTCCAAATGCCACTCTCAGGCTTAACGATATATATGGAATTACTAAACGCTCTTTAAAAGGGTAAACGATACCTTGACACAAAACATATTTATCCAACAATTTGAAACCTTTATGAATCAGTAGCTACCTAATATTTTTCAAAAAGTTTTAAACTACATATGTATAGAAAAATTGACAAAGTTGTTTTGAAAACGCAAATGCCAAAAAAACATAAATGACACACATTTCAAACAACAAAGTAATAAGAAAAAGAACATATCTGTCAATATGCATTTCTACTTTACTTTGTGTAGATATGTCTACTACAAGTATCAACATGCTTCATATCAGAAGTAGAGGTTAGAAACAAAGAAGACATTCATGGAGTATTCTCTCCATAAAAAATCGTGTTGAAGATTTCACACAACCTATGTTTGGTCTGACATGATGACTTCAACATATGGTTGCTACCTACAAAAAGGCTACGAAGATATGAAGATTGAAGACAAAAATTGTCTAACAGATATTTTCCCATGAAGCTTATAATTAGAAGATCCCTTGGAAAGAAGAAAAAAAAGAAAGGATAAGCATACAAATAACAAAAAGATTAAAGCGAAACTCACACTCGTGCAAGAACAAAAATTCTAAAAATACACTTCTCAAGCTTCATAGAGTCATAAGCTTACATCGAGAGAAGAGAGAAAATCACAAGGTTATTGGTTGAGTTTGTATTGTATGTTAGTATTGTGAAACTTAATTTAGTCCAACATACTTAATACTTATGAGATGTTGTTTCTCTTTTTAACTATATAAAAACTTTTCTGTGTAAAGCTTGAAAGATACACCGAACATAAAAATACGTCCTATTGTAGTCATGGATGTTGGCATTTATACAATGAACCACGTTAAATTCTTGTGTCGTTTATTTCTCTCTTTCATCTTTTATTGCCTTTGTTCCTAACATTGTAAACACATAATCTCTGTGAGAGTTATCATCTAAAACTTGTAAACAATCTGATTTATTATACATTCCGAAAAGAATTCAAATACTTGATAGTTAGCTGAGTTAAGTTAACCATTTATAAACAATGCAATTGCTTATGAAATTAATCATTGATAAACGATCTTGTCATCTGAGGCTATTTCCTTAAGAATTGTCTTTCTTAATTGCTGCAGTTTTACTAAACGCTTAAAAAACATTCTATCTCTAAACATTATGGTTTAAACAATATCTTATAAATCAAGCGTGTAACAATCTATATAAATCGTCTAACCGTCAATACTTATAATTTATATATATATATATATATATATATATATATATATATATTATAATTTAAGATTATTTTAATTAATATGAAATTCTTAATACATCTTTTACTTTAAAAAGTAAAAAATAAACATCTCAAATGTTGTGGAAATAGATATTTGTAATAAGAGTTGAATAATAAATTATACAATGACCATGAAGATGAATATCTAATGTTTTGGAATGATTGGAACAGCTAAAACAGGTTGAGCCTTCTCCAAGGTAGTCCAAAGTTTTAAATTGTTCTACCTCTGGTTGAATATCCTGAAGCTCCCAATCAAGGAATTGATGAACAATCCCAACATCAAGAACACCAACCTTATGGCCAATAGCAAACCAGGGCATATTCTCCTCCCACCACCAAATGGGTAAGCTCAAAACGCTTCCTTTGAAGTCTATTTCTGATTCCAAAAACCTCTCAGGCCAAAACAATCTAGGTTTCTCCCACAAATTAGGGTCCCTTCCTATGGCCCACACATTAATCAACACTTGTGCACCCTTTGGAATTGTGTATCCATGCATCTCAAATTCCACTTCAGCTTTTCTGGGTAGCAAAAGTGGAACTGCAGGGTGCAACCTGAAAGTCTCTTTCACTATTGCCTGCAAATAAGGGAGTTTCGCTATGTCTGACTCTTCCACAAGGTTCTCTTTTTTCCTATAAGCCTCTCTAACTCTTCTTTTTGCCTTTGAACATAACATGTCTGGGTTGTGAAGTACTCGGCCATTGCCCAATTCTACCGTAGATGTCACTGTATCAGTTCCTGCCACAAACAAACACAAAATACACATTTTTGCAAGGTTAGTCCGGACAAAACCATTGACCAGAAGATTTGTATTTAAGCCTACAAAAAATTTTCTGTATTTTCACAAACAGGTTGGGTCCACCTTGTTTTTCACCCTGGGTCATCAATTCCCTGTCCATAGTTTTCAACCCAATGCTCCTCTTTAAGGCAGGGCCAACCATTACTGATAAAGATCAGAAGAATCACTGGCGCATGTTTTTTTATAATGATTTGATAGGACAAATTTCTTTAAATATTTTATCAAAGAAAATATAGAAAAATAATAGGTAAGAATTTATAAAGGATTAGATTTTGTCACATAATGTTTTGTGTCAAGTTAATTTAAGTTATGAAAAAGATATTTTATTATTTTTGTTGCATTGTGGCTAGAAACTTGGACTAACAAATTCATCTACTCTGTTCTTTTTCCTCATAGCAAAGTTCAAGAATATAGATGCACATGGTAGGATTTTTCAATCAATTTTTAAAGTTTTATTTTCACTAAGAGTTTTATTAAATGCATCACTTATTACAAAAATAGAACATTAGATATGATTATAGAATATTAGCAAAAGTATCCTCTTTCTGTATGTAAAATTTTTTTTCATATATTTCTTAGGTTAAAACATATACATAAACCTTCAATATTTTCTTCTGCAGGTAAGAAAGTAACAAGGGAGAACAGTGGAGAACGTACAAGGAAAATAAGAAAGAAATAGTAATATTGAAACATTAAGAAAGATTAAAGTGCAGGAAAAGGAAAAGACCAATGACAACGTTGATCTTAACTATGTCCATCTTATGTTGGCATCGGTTAGCATGGCATCCAACATGTCCTTTTTGGTGCAGAACCAGCAGATCTTTTCTCAGTTCCAGCCTTTGTGAATCAAGCTCTTGAATATGTTCAAAAGCTTCGAAAAGTAGCTTCCGTGCGTATTCTGATTCCATTGAGGGTCAATAATCTTCAGGACTGGGAAACATCAGCAAAATTTGCTTCAACCTCTTTATGATGTTGTGGTCACCAACTCTTCATCTCCCCAGGCTTTTTCAGTCGGACGGAAGGAATCCTCTGAGTAGAGTAGATTGTGTTTTGGACAGCTGATTTATTGTCGTCTTGAAAGCCAACCTGAAAAATACGGTTCAAAGACAGAGAAACAGATTGAAAATAAAGAAGACACATGAAGAAATAAGAGAAAATTATGTAGTTGATGTTAATATGATCAAAACCTCACAAAAAGTAAAATTACACATTTGAAAAGGAAACAATTTTCCTAACTAATAATTTTATGTGTGTGTGTGTTTGATACATATACAAACCTTCCAATGTTCACAGGTTCACCCTTCAAGCTGTGCTATGTAATGTCACGTAAAGCTCTCGAACCTTCTTGCTTCTGGTCAATGGAGTGGCGCCAAGTTCCTGTTGGAGAACAAGAGTCATTGCACAGCTTCCTCAGCTCCCTCCATGTTGTGAAAACTGGCATGAAGGGCAAGCTGAAGTGGTCATGGCTGGCACCTCTCATTGCCTCAGGGATCTTCTTTTGAGAGAACAAGTGATCAGGATTTGGAGCACCCTTTGGATGCTTCTGATGAGGACATCCGATGGTGGTCTCTTGCCCCAGTTTGAGGCTCTTATTGAGCCATGAATGTTGGCCCGGGGGGCCAGGGTTTGTGGGGCTTGGCACCCATTGGAGGAGGAGATTCCCCACGAGAGGAAGACCCCTTAGGGCCTGGTGGAAGGTTTGATTGCTTTTGTTTGGAGTGAAAAGTGATTTTGAGGGCTTCAGAAAGGTTGATGATGTGGATCAAAAGGGATGTGAAAGTGAAGAACCATGCTTGAGTTGTCTCAATCTCATATGTCTGTGTAAGAGAAAGTGCAGCAGATCCAGCAGAGTAACTTGATAATTCAGATTCTCATCATTGTGTTTCGCGTAATAATATTATAAACTGGAGTTGAGGTAGTTAATGATATTTTGGGTGGTTTGGACCACCGGTAGATTCGATGGACTGAAAGGAAACAAAAAGAATAGAAAAAAGTGAATGGGAAGTAAAAGAAAAATCTCATAACTGATTTAATTGATGTGATGAATTAAATAAATTTTCTAATTCATGAATATGTAAAATTATTATGTTACTCTTGTCTTCAAAATGCATCTACCTTTTTATGTTGCTACTACTTCAGTTTGGTTAAATTGATTTTCTTGTTATGATCCGGGTATATGTAATTTTGAATTATCTGATACTACTGTAAAGATAATATAATTGAATTGATGCAAGTGTCACACTTGACTACATAACTAAAATTAGGAACAATGGTAGA